TTAGAGGGCATGGGGACTATTCCCAGGGAAGTTGACCTCTGAGCAGATTTGAAAGGATGATAGGAGAGGGAAGGGCATTCCTGGCTGAGGGAACTGCATATGCAAAGGCACAGCAGGGGGGTGAGGAGGGGGTTGTTGTGGAGTCGGGGGTGCCTAGCCTTAGCGGCAGAAGGGCTGGGCATGAAGCTGAGCAGGGGGTTTGGGGCCAGGCGGCAAAGGGCCTCAAAGCCAGCCCAGGATTTCAGATTTACATCCTATTGGCAACAGGGAGGCGGTGGAGATGTTTACTCTCTCTCAGCCTCCATCAAGTTAGTGCTTTGCTCTTAGAACTGTGGTCTAGGTTGTAGTCCCTCATCATGTCAACCTCTTGTCTTTCTCTTTTCTTTTAATTACACTTAAAATGTGCTGGGAAACCTAGTTGGAAGAGAGAAAAAGTGATGAAATTGTAGCCTATGGGGCAGGCTAGTTCATCCTTTCCTCCTAATGCACTTACTACATTTAAATGCTTCTAGTTATTTGGAGCCTTCAGGTGACTTCGTTTCTCTGAGTACTATACACTTAGTTTCCTACATCTGCTGTTAATTTCTTAAGCAACCTTAATGAGAAACTTCAAACAGCTTAAATGTCAGTTCCCCAAAAAGTGAGGTTTTCAAATTCCAGTAATCTGTCCATATTGGTCAGTGGAACATAATCCCAGGTGGATGTGATTTAAGACAGATGACATTCCAGAGCTTCCCTGACAAAGAGTTTATATATCTTTGGGACTAACAGGCAGGCCCTGGTGTTGCTACACTTGCAGGACTGCCTACAGTTCCGGCCTATCTGGTGCAGGCTCTTCGCTCAACGCTTTCAGCTCTCTGCATTCCCTCTGGCTCTGTGTTTTGGCTGGTGCTTTTGAATCTGGGAAGACCCAAAAGCTACTATGTATATAAAAATATGTTGAGAACATAGTAAATGTAATAATTCCAATTTTTTTTTAAAGATTTTATTTATTTATTTGACAGAGAGAGACACAGCGAGAGAGGGAACACAAGCAGGGGGAGTGGGAGAGGGAGAAGCAGGCCTCCCGCAGAGCAGGGAGCCCGATGTGGGACTCGATCCCAGGACCCTGGGATCATGACCTGAGCTGAAGGCAGTCGCTCAACCAACTGAGCCACCCAGGCGCCCAATAATTCCAATTTTTAATCCTACACTTTTGAGAGAAAAAAAGTATTCATGATGTACTTTATCATAGATTTATTCTTTTTTTATAGGTTTTTTTTTTAAGATTTTATTTTTAAGTAATCTCTACACCTAGAGTGGGGCTCTCACACTCACAACCCAAAGATTGCTGTACTGACTGAGCCAGCCAGGCACCCCTTCATAGATTTATTCTTTAGATTTATTTGTTTATTTATTTAACAGAGAGAGAGAGTGAGCGAGAGAGAGAGAAAGCGAGCAGGGGGAGGGGCAGAGGGAGAGGGAGAAGTAGACTCTCTGCTGATCAGGGAGCCCATTGTGGGATTTGATCCCAGGATTCTGAGATCATGACCTGAGCCGATGGCAGACACTTAACTGACTGAGCCACCCAGGCACCCCATAGATTTATTCTTAATGCATAGGTTATCTTAAATTTCTGACTGAGAAATCCTGATTTGTTTGTTTCTTGCCACTCCCACTTTTTTTTCCCTATGTTTCTTCCTTTGCCTTTATTTTTTTTATTTTTATTTTTTTAAGATTTTATTTATTTGACAGAGATAGAGAGACAAGTAGGCAGAGTGGCAGGCAGAGGTAGAGGGAGAAGCAGGCTCCTCACTGAGCAGGGAGCCTGATGTGGGACTCGATCCCAGGACCCTGGGATCATGACCTGAGCCAAAGGCAGACGCTTAACGACTGAGCCACCCAGGTGTCCCCCTTTGCCTTTATTTTTTATTAAGATAAAATGCATGAAGAAAGAGTAGAATATGGTGATGAGTATTACTTTTAACAGGAAGTAAAACCAGAAGCATGCATTAATAAATTAAGCTTGCATTTTCTCTGCAGGTCACTTAGTGGGTGTTATGTGCTATGGAGTAAACAATTTTTGGCAGCTAGTTTAGTTTTCACTACTTCTAAGCCTCTGACAAATGATCTCTTAGATGATCTTTGGTCTTTTTTTTTTTAAGATTTCATTTATTTATTTGACAGAGAGACAGAGTGAGAGAAGGAACCACAAGCAGGGGGAGTGGGAGAGGGAGAAGCAGGCTTCCCGCCGAGCAGGGAGCCCAGTGTGGGGCTTGACCCCAGGACCCCGGGATCATGACCCGAGCCGAAGGCAGACGCCCAACGACTGAGCCACCCAGGCGTCCCGATCTTTGGTCTTAAAAAGGAAAACGTTTTATGTGTAAGTTTTAAGTTTAGTTTTGTTGTTTTTTTTTTTTTTTTTAAGATTTTATTTATTTATTTGAGACAGAGAGAATGAGAGACAGAGAGCATGAGAGGGAGGAGGGTCAGAGGGAGAAGCAGACTCCCTGCTGAGCAGGGAGCCCGATGCGGGACTCGATCCCAGGACTCCAGGATCATGACCTGAGCCGAAGGCAGTCGCTTAACCAACTGAGCCACCCAGGCGCCCCTAGTTTTGTTGTTTTTTGAAGGCTTTTTTATGTAAGCCATTTGTGTGAACTTTTGTTTTATTTGAATTTGAAATTTAAAAAAAGTTCTAAAAGTAGAGTCTGCTATATTGAACTGTTTTTCACATGTTTTACATTTAAAATTTAATTTGCCTTTTCTAGTTTTAGAAGATACTGAGAAAATAAAGTTTCCTCATTAAGCAGCCACTATTTATCAACTGCTTTTGAAAATTGGGAAATTATGTTTAGTGTGTATGACTTTAGGTTGTTTTCCCCCGCAGGAGAAATATATTCTTAGACCTACTGCCTATCCATTTATCTATTTAGCCTGCTTTAAGTCTCTTTAAAAAAAAAAAAATTTTAGTTATTTACTTGAGCCTGCATAAGCGGGGGGAAGGGCAGAGGAGGAGGGAGAGAAAGAATCTCTCAAGCCGACTTTGCGCTGAGCACAGAGCCCAACTCAGGGCTCGATCCCACGACCCCAGCCAAAACCAAGAGTCGGATGCTCAACCAACTGAGCCACCCAGGCACTGCTGCCATAAGTCACTTTCAAAGGTAAAGAAATAGTCATACAAAGTTAGATCTAGCTGAACATGTGAATTTCATGTATTTCCTGATAATCAGCCCTGTTTTAAAGGCTTCTAGAGTTCTTTCAAAAGCAGTCATTGGTGCTGTATTTGGCATTTGTATATTGTTAAAACTTCACGTAAATGTAGAGGTACCAGATTGTGCACTTTATAGAATCTCTAATGCTAATATCACTTTTCCAAGTATCAATAATCTTTGTGTTGTGAGATACACGTATACAAAACCTGTATCTGGCTTATCTGATTGGAAAGTGAAATTTAACATTTTCCAGTAGTTACTTGTCAACATTCTAATGACTAATACCCACTAAATGTTTATTTAAGTCAAAATGTAAAGGATCAGTGGGTTGTTTAATCAGCTTTACAGGGGTAAAGTTAGAATGCAAAATCAAATCCCCTCACTCTCCAGAGAGGCGACTTGATGACTTACTCCTCTTTCTCTCAGTAACGTAGTAGAGCCTATTTGGCTTAATCAGCAGCCTTGGGAGTTGGAGTAATCATTTGAAATATTGAGTGGAAAAGTTCCTTGCACTTGGAAAAGTTAGGAGGCCAGGAGTGAGAGACATATCCACATCCTTTCCCTGGTGGCCCCTCACCTGTGAATTCGCACCAGGGTGGTAATAAAATTGTAGGAGCTCATTTTATATGAAACCATTAGCAGCCTGAGAATTTGGGGCTAGCTGCCTCTCATACTTTAAGACACTGGAAGGTGTCATTTATAAGCATGGAGGGCCTGAAAGAAGGCAGAACAAGCTTGTAAACTATAGCTTTAGGCTCTGAACAGTAATCAGTTTGTAATACAGTTTAGTCTTAGGCTATCAAAATCACAAATGTGCCTTTAAGTATTGCAGGCAAATCCCATGAAACATCTGCCTATAAAAGGTAGAGACAATGGCTACTTATTTCCTCTTGTTACTGTGATATGTTATTTTCTTTTTGTGCCTTCATGGATGAGGGTGGAGGGGAAGGGGGCCATGCTGCAAGTGGAACAAGTAAAACTGAATATTTTTGTTAGTTTGGTTTTTTTTCTTTAGGTTCGCTATGATAGATGGTTTAAGTATCGCAGCTAATATGGAGGTTTTACTTTGAAACAGCTACTCGTGCATGGTTCCTGCTTCTTAGTGTGGCTGACTCTGAGTTCCCAGGCTGGGGCAAGTGTGTGTGACAGGCAGAGCTCTTGGGGTTGAGGGAATAGGGAAGCATTTCCAGCTTCCATTGGCTCATAAGATGGAGGGTTCCCCTACATTAGGGCAGAATTCAGGTTCTTGGTCACATGTGGAAATGGCAAATGGCCCTGAGTGTGGGCCAGCCCAGCTTCAGGATCTCTGCTGATGATCCCAAGAATGATTCTTTAACTGAAGCCATGAAGAAAACCAGATTAGGTAAGAATTCAAGCACTCATTTTGCAGATCGAAAACAGTCTACAGAATCTACCTGGGCATAACGATGTGTATATCAGGGTGCTCCAGGCTTTGCCTCCTAACCAGTACAAATGTGACTGTTTAAAGATTTATTTATGATTTGAGAGAGAGAGAGAGAGAGAGCACATGCACATGTGAGCAGGGGGTAGAGCAGAGGGGGAGGGAGAAGGAGGGGGAAAGAATCTCAAGCACACTCTGCACTGAGCGTGGAGCCCAAGGCAGGGCTCAATCTTATGGCCCTGATATCGTTGTGACCTGAGCTGAATCAAGAGTTGGATGCTTAACCAACTGAGCCACCCAGGCGCCCCCAAATGTAACTTTAAATCTTAGTGCCCTGGGGTGCCTGGGTAGCTCAGTTGGTAAAGCGTCCGACTCTTGATTTAGGCTCAGGTCATGATCTCAGGGTCATGAGATCCAGCCCCATGTTGGGCTCCATGCTCAGCGCAGAGTCTGCTTGAGATTCCCTCCCCCTCTGCTCCTCCCCTTGCTCGTGCTTGCTCACTCTCTCTTTCTCAAAAAATAAATAAGCAAGCAAATAAATAAAATATTAAAAAAAAAAATATCAGTGCTCCATGTCCCCACTGCCTGCCCTCCTCTAGGAGTTAGGTAAGTTACCTGAAATGTCCCTGGTTCTCCCCCTATCAGATCAGAGCTGTCCCTGTGGCTTAGTGATGGCCCTCCTGCTCCAGGATCCTGTGGCAGTGAGAGTCCCAGGTTCATCTGCAGCCCTATTGCTTGTCTCTTAATCTGGCCAGTGGGAAACAGCCTATCCAATTCCCATTGGTGACCCAGAGAAAATTGTAGGCATTCAGTAATATTTCTGTGCTTCATATCAAGGTCTAGTTCTTTCCAAAGGACATCGATGGGACTGGGCAAGAGAGAGATGGCCCTATACCAAGAGATAAGTATTGTCTGGGAGAAACCACTGTCCCCTTTAGACCTTAGGTTCCTGTTGCTCAGGATTCCCATTTTAGGCCTGGTTCCTATATAAGACTTTTTTTTTTTTTTCCAAGGAGATGTTATGTTGATCCTCTCTTGAGGATCTCAGACTACTTCGGTACATGTCTGTCAGCTCAGAGATGGTGTTTATTCATTTGAAGGCAATCTCTGCAAACATGTGTGTTCAGAATCACCAGGGTAGTGTTCTCCAGTGATGTGGTCAGAAAGGCTCTGTTCGAATGCCGGGCCTACCACGGGAGCATGAGGGACGCCTCAAATTCCATTTGGAGGCATCTTTGAGCTCGCCGAGTAGACACCATGAGCAAAGCTCACCCTCCCAAGTTGAAAAAATTTATGGACAAGAAATTATCATTGAAATTAAATGGTGGCAGACATGTCCAAGGAATATTGCGGGGGTTCCATCCGTTTATGAATCTTGTGATAGATGAATGTGTGGAGATGGCAACTAGTGGGCCACAGAACAATACGAGGAAATAGTATCATCATGTTAGAAGCCTTGGAACAAGTATAAACAATGGGTGTGTTCATCAGAAGAAATCAACTCCTTCCACATGTCCCCTCTCCATAGTACCTGTTTTACTACAATATAAAAATCAGGTCGTGTGCATTTTCATATTGAATTTTTTGTTAAATAAACTTTTATAATAGTCCAAACAAGAAAAGAAAAGGAAAGAAAGGCTCTGTTCACTCTCACTAGCTCTGAGAGGTGCCCAAAGTTGGTTGGATATGGTTTCTCTACTTAGGTAGCCTTGCTTGCTGCCGCTGTGTTCTGCACCCCTCCAAGGGTGAGGCCCAGGTTGAAAGTAGATTGTTCTCATCCAGCAGAAGTGTGCTTGGATGCTGGCCACACATCCCCATCCCCTCCTGCAGAAGCAGCTCAGGGCATTCCTTGTTTAACTGTCATATGGGCCACTTAAGCAATGCTTTTCTGAGAGGCAGTGTGGGAGATATTGTCCTGATAAATTGTGAAATGCCTCTTTGTAAGCCATCCTGTTCTTTTTTTTTTTTTTTAAGATTTTATTCATTTATTTGAGAGAGTGAGAGAGAGAGAGCACATGAGAGGGGGGAAAGTCACAGGGAGAAGCAGACTCCCTGCCGAGCAGGGAGCCCGATGTGGGACTCGATCCTGGGACTCCAGGATCATGACCTGAGCCGAAGGCAGTCGCTTAACCAACTGAGCCACCCAGGCGCCCAGCCATCCTGTTCTTTTATGCCTCCTCTCCTTTCTTTACTCTGGAGCTCCTTGTAGTGCAAGCATTAATGTTTTTGTGAGGTCTTCCTGAGGTTGAGGGAAGCTTTAGGAAGGCTGCTGGCTAGGACAGTTCCTGAAAACAATTTTTGTAGTTGTAACTCAGGCACCAGGACCCTAGAAGGTTCAGAGAAGTGCTAAAAGTGCAAAAGTTGTGGGCAGGGACTTTGCCTATTTTACAAGTGTTGATTAAAGTAGTTCTGGGGGCGCCTGGGTGGCTCAGATGGTTGAGCCTCTGCCTTCGGCTCGGGTCATGATCCCGGGGTCCTGGATCGAGTCCCGCATCGGGCTCCCTGCTAGGTGGGGAGCCTGCTTCTCCCTCTGCCTCTGCCTCTCTCTCTCTCTCTCTCTCTCTCTCTGACTCTCATGAATAAATAATAAAATTAAAAAAAAAAAAACATTTAAAGTAGTTCTGAACCAGAAAATCATTTGATGGATTCTTATCTTGTACAAAGATATATTATTTTTGGCCTCTCTTTTTTCTTCTCTTCTCTTTCGCCTTTCCCCTGTGACCTCCCATCCCAACTGATCTCTCTTGTCCCCACTTACCCTGTACTATTCATCTTAATACCAGATCTGCCCTCTTCTGTACCCTGTTCTTATTTTTGAGGAGGATTACACTCTATTGAGCTCTTGTGCCAAGCACTGTGCTTTTATGTATTAATATTATCAGGAGGAAACCCTTTGGTTCATTTTACATATGAGGAAAATGAGATTCAGGGAAGTTAATTGACTTATCCAAATTTACATACCTACTAAGGGATGGAGCAGAAGCCAAACCCATTTCTGAAGCCTGTTCACTGAATCACTATATTTCAGTCATCTAGTCTGGACACCTTTGGAAAGGAGGATTCTTTTATTGTTACCCAAAGAGATGATAATATAAAATGCCCATAAATTGGAGGTTAGCTAAGTAAATTATGGTATAGTCATACCATAATAATAATGATGTAGCTATTAAAAATGAGGTAGTTTCCATGAATGGTTAAGTAGCTTGATTGCACTAATCCCACTGTACATAACATTTATATAATTTGCAAAAAATATTTTTATTTTTTTAAAGACCTTATTTATTTGAGAGAGAGAGTGCACATGAGTGGGGGGAGAGGCAGAGGGAGAAACAGACTCCTGTTGAGCAGGGAGCCCGATGCAGGGCTCGATCCCAGGAGTCCTAGATCATGACCCGAGCCGAAGGCAGATGCTTAACCAGCTGAGCCATCCAGGTGCCCCATGCAAAAAAAAAAAAAACACAACTATTTGGGGACTGCTTCTCCCTCTGCCCCTCCCCCCACTCATTCTCTCTCTCTCTTTCTCTCTCTCACTCTCTCTCTTTAAAATAAATAAATATAATCTTAAAAAAAAACCCAACTATTTTAAGGCAGTGGAGAGCAAGCACAATCAGGCAGAAACTAGAGTAGAATCTACCCTTGAAACAGAGACTGTATTGGATAAAGTTTGCAACTTGATGGTTTTTTACCTGAAGGCACTTCTAAATCTACCTTATGTACGCTGCAAAAATTGCAGCCGTACTGTATTGAGGTGCTAGAAGGCAGAGGTAGAGGCTGGCAGAGCAGCCAGAAAGTTAGGAGGGAAAGGAGCCAAGAGGGAATAAATTCCAAAATTTACATATGAAATGGCACAAATCCTTGGCTAGCCACTGAGCTGTGTGTGTGTGTAGAGGAACTTCCAGTGGAACTGGGGGAAAAGCAGCCCCTGGAAGCTGAAAGAACAGAGTAGAAATCCTAGCTGCTGCTCACCACAGAGGAGGCAGAGTGTGGTGTTTGTGTTCAGCCAAATTAACTGTCAGCTGGAATAAAAATCACTCTTCAGAGAAATATACAGAATCTAGAATCTCTAGAACATATTAATCATAATGTCCAAAGTCTTAACCAAGAATCACTGTATCAAATCATTATGTCGTATACTTTAAATGAATACAATATTATATGTCAATTATATCAATACAATTAAGAAAAAAATCACTATATAGATGAGGAAACGAGGGGGAAAGCAGTTAATTGAAGCCAAACTCAAGATGATCCATATGTTATAATTAACAGACAAGGACATTAAAGCATCAGCCATAAGTATGTTCAAGGACTTAATGGTAAATAAGTGTGTGTAAATATACACACAATGAATGAGCAGATGGAGAACATCACCTTAGAAATAAACACTATTAAAAAGAGCTGAAAGATTAGTGGTTGCCAGTGGCTAGAGGAGAGGAGGGAATGGGGAATGACTGTTTAATATGTATGGGGTTTCCTTTTGGGGTGATGAAAATGTTCTTGAACTAGATAATGGTGATGCATGTATAATGTTATGAATTTATTAAATGCCAGTGAATTGTATACTTTAAAATGGTTAAAATTAATTTTATGAAAAAAGAGCTGAAAAGTACATTAAATTGAAAGCTCTGAAGTTCTCTCCTCAACACTGCCATCCCAATGATGTGGGAAACAAAGGCAGAAGAAAAATTATTAAATTTCCTTACTACCTAGAACCCACTGACAAGTCCTTGAAACAGGCAGAGTGACATTCCTCTAGGGACTCACTCGATGTTAATATGCGAAGGGCAAAAGGCAATTCTAGTCTGACCCCCCCCCCCCCCCCCCCCCGCAATCCTGTAAGTCTACTTTAACGTATAAGAATTCCTTTGGAAACTTCCTTTATCTCTAAATCCTCCAAGACACGTGTTGGCAATCATCCCCCAAGCATATGGCCCACCGATATACATCTGAAGGGTCTCGTGACTAAGGTTTTATTAGATGGTAATACATGAACTTTTCCCAACAATAGCTAGTCCCCTCAAGGTCCTGGAATTCCAAAATTCCTTAGAGAGTTATCCCTAACCCCCTCCCAACTTGTAAGTATATAATGGGCCTCTCCTCATGACCCCATTGCAGCTCTTTCTGCCCATGGGTCCTGTCCCCGTGCTTTAATAAAACCACCTTTTTGCACCAAAGATGTCTCAAGAATTCTTTCTTGCCGTCGGCTTCGAACCCTAATAACGTCTTTCCTACATCACCAACATACAATCTGGCTTAATTCTTATTCAGAGCGGCTGATATTAGGGCCCCCTGGCTGGTTCTGCCCAAGGTTACTTAGCTACTAAGAGGTGGAGCCAGGGTTTGAACGGGGTGGTATGACTCATAGGCGCCCCCTTAGTGACATGAAGTCCTGTGCTGGTTGGCATTACATCAGTTAACCATATCCATTGCCAGATCAGGGAACCAAGGAGCAGAGGGTTATGTACCTCCCCCAATATGAAACTGAGAGGCAGAGTTGGGATCCCAACCACCAGTCCTGTTCCAAAGGTAGAATTCTTTTGACAAGGCTATGCTGACCTAGTATTTTGTGTTCACCCTTTCATGCAAGGCTAAATTTTAGGTCACAGCCAATTAAATTTTGAAAAATCACCCACTTGAAGATCTTGAAGATGATAGTGATAAAAATGCTGTTAGAAAGCCAATAATCGGGGTGCCTGGGTGGCTCAGTCGGTTAAGCTTTGGACTCTTGATCTCAGCTCAGGTCTTGATCTCAGGTTCATGAGTTCAAGCCCCATGTTGGGCTCCACCCTGGGCTCCACGCTGGGCGAGGATCCTACTTAAAAAAAAAGAAAACCAGCAATCTACCAATCTTCACATTGATGAATAGTGTGGCCTTAGAATTTATCATCCAAATATGGACACTTTGGAGAGTGAAAGGAGTGCTATTAATATTGATACTGGGGCATTAGGTGTCAGCCAAAACCTTTCAGGCTAACCAGGGCTTGTGGTCACTCTATATACACAGCATGTTATTTAGTGCCCACACATATGTATTATTATTTGTAAATTCTGTTACTCTTTGGAGTATAAGCCTCTAAAGTGCGGAAATAGTTCTACTAAGTTTTAATCATACATTGTTTCATAAACATGGACAACCATAATAGCAACTATTTGGCTAAATCCAATTCTAGAACATAAGCATTTGTAGTCATTCTTAAAGGAGTGCTCCAGTGGTTTAGCAATGATTTAAATGCATTTATATATAACACATGAAAGCCAGAAACAAAAATCAAAATAAAATGTAAAATCTATCTATCCTCTTTGCCTACACAAGGTGACTATATTGTTAGAACCACAAATTGATGTATTCACTGAGCACATGATTTGATTACATTTGTGGAAGTGAATAATGGGACAAAATACTTGAAATTATCTGGGAAAATTCCAGGCATGTGATTGCTCTACATGTAGTTGAAAATGCATATTCCCTAAGTAGTGTAGAGTTTAATTAAACAGAATGGTCTGATTTTAATCTAACATTTTATACTTATAAAATTAAGTTTCAGGGCACCTGGCTGGCTCAGTTGGTGGAGCATGTGATTCTTGATCTCAGGGTCATGAGTTCAAGCCCCATGTTGGGTGTAGGGATTACTTAAAACAAATTTTTTTTTAATTAAGTTTGATTCTTTTATTTTGGGTTGCTTTTTTTAAATCATGAAAACTGATGCTCAAATCACCTATCAAAACAATTTTATTTATTTTTTTCATATGAGGCAATTTAATAGACTGGACAGTTGCATGCTTAACTATTTAGTATTTTTGCTTGTCTCATGGTTTTTAAAAATCATTTAGTTTGGAGCCAGATATATTTTGCTGTGGCTTTTATATGTTAATTGACATAAAATGTCATCTTTATTTTATTTTATTTTTTTAAAGATTTTATTTATTTATTTGAGAGAGAATGAGAGAGAGCACATGAGAGGGGGGAGGGTCAGAGGGAGAAGCAGACTCCCTGCCGAGCAGGGAGCCCGATGCGGGACTC